CTTGCTTATCAGCCACAACCCTCTAGAAACAAAAAAATATATTCATCAAGTTACATTCCAAAATTTCTCAAATGGAGATGCTATAAAAATATCCTAGATCATTAATGTTCAATCCTTTGCCTGGTGTATACTTGTGTATATACTGGTGTATACTTGTGTATGCTCTTCCTCAGCGTACTTGACAATGTTTTCAAGAAATACAAGTTATTGCAGAAGAGCTGCAGCAAATAGATGGGTGTTACACCAAGACCTGAAAGATGTAAATTTGCATTAATTAAAAGTTTCTCAGGAAGGAGAATTCAGAGTAGTAAAGTCACATCTTTAAAGTGAGAGTTTCCATAATAACACTACCATATTTTGGCCACTGATAAGGGAATTAGAATTGAGAAAGTTAATAAAATTCTTAACTCCTTCAGCTATATTGTAGCATTAAAACACACTAACAACAAAAGCTTAAAGGACTTGGTCGGACTGGTACCTAGTTTTGAAGCTAAATTTTCTGTACAATGAACATGAGATATAAAATTAGAAAGGATGCTTTAGCTGACAGCCCCCAGGTTGAACTCACTACTACTGGGGACAAGGCACGCTCAGTAGAGGGCCCTCAAATGTGGAACTCACAACTGGAGATCTGGCCAAACCCAAGTCTCGCCACCTTCTGGACATGATGCAAGAAATTCAACTCTTTGTAAAGACCTTCTTCTGAGATGTGGAATTGCCCCAGCAGCATCTTGATTAGATCTCTGAGGAGAGCTCTGAGGAAGGAGGGGATAATTATTGTTTTCTTTTTTTGTTAGCGAAGTTCTTCAAAAGCTTTTTTTTTTATTGATGCTTTGGGAATGTGTACTAATCATCCATGCATATTTTTCTCAAATGATGTAAATAACCAATTAACCCCTTTGTGTCAAATTACATTTATACTTCCTCATACAGTATCAGTAATTTATCTGTAAGCAACGTTTCTTGTTCAAGTAAGTGCTTGCGTAATTTCAGAGAGAGTTGAGAGGAAAAAAACATATATATACACATTATCTAAGGCAATTTAAGATTTGAACTGAAACACCTATATTTAAGAGCCAAAACTGCCAGTATAGTCAATGGAAAAAGTTAAGGATCAATCACAGTGATCATGTAAGACGGTGGAAATATCAAGAAATAAGCCAAGCTGATTTGTTTGAACTCAGTAACAACATATTTTGCTTTTAGGGCTTCAATCCATTTAGACGTGGTCTTTAGTGAATTCTACAGTAAAATGTTTAATTGAGCTTGAATCCCACAATTCGTATGTTATGACTATAAATAGCATAAGCATCCAAGCCCATTCTCTTGGATGCCTAGGGTTTCATTCCAGTAATTCCTTCAGGCAGACGATTTCCAGTCAAGATAAAAAATGCTGTTTGAGCAAGCATTCCACCTCAATTTCAAAAACTTCAAGCTAAGGAGAACACGTCACTTCTCTGTAACAACTATTCGCATTTGTTAGCCTCACTTCAAGATATACATCTTTGTTCATTCTGACTCTAATATAGCTTCTGCCTTCAGTCATTAGAATGTATTTCACCTACTGTCAGTTAAGCCTAGAAATCCTGAACAACTAAATATCCTCTTTCATTGTTGGTACCCGTAAAACAAAAGTCACCTCCTAAACTTCAAATGAAATAAGGACACTAAATTTCTTTAGCCTCTCATCATACAGTAGGTTGCTTGATCTCTAAACATTTCTGTTATTCTTTTCTGAACCCTTTGTTATGTGTCAACATCCTCTTTACATGCTGGTATCAAAACCGAACACTTTTCAACATTCCTATAAACATTTTGCCCTAAATTAAATCAAGAAAATACAACTCCCGATTTGAATTGCAACACCTATATTTAAGAGCCTAGCCTTAGGCCCACTGTATATTCCTATATTTCCAAGGATCTCATTAATGCTTTTAGCCAATATACTGGCTAGAGGTAAGATTCATTTGGCTGTCTCCTATAACTGCTGAATTTGTTCCAGTATGACCACATTTCAGAATAATTCTCCTTTTTAAAAGTGTTTTTACTTGTTCCCAACACACATTACTTTGAATGCACTTTAATGTACCTCAGTGCAAAAGAGTCCCTCTTATTAAGTTACCTAGACAACTCTGATATGAAATGCGTATGTTAGGTTGACAAAATACCTCAAATTTTAAATTAATAAGAAAATACACACACAACCAGAGAAGTTTTGCCAGGCAAACAACTAAGTAGGAGCACAAAATGATAGGAATTATTTACCCTGAGTTCCTCAAGCTTCTCTCTTATTTCAATAAACCCTAAGTGTAGTTTTCCTCCAAAGTGGTCAGCAAGTCTTCGGTCATTATCATGAAGACCAAGATAAGCAGAACAGACTTCACAGACCCGTAGCTTCTGCTGCTGAAAGCTGGAGGCAGGCATAGAATTCCTGTATACTTCCTGGAGAAAAGACATTTTGGTGACTCTTACCTCTTAGTGCATAAAAATGCAAGTTATTTATTTTATAAAAGTGTATCAGTTTAGATAACCAATCAGCATGATTTTAGTCACACTATTCATAAATGAATTGTCTCATTAAAATACAAGGTAAGTTATTTTGAAGATCTGGCATATGAAAGATAGGACATTAGCAATTGGTTTTGCAAATAAGGGCAAAAGAAAGCGAGCTAATTAGTATCTTTACTTTAGATTACATCTGAAAAATGCCCTTACACTCAACATGATGAATATATGTTAACACTGTAATTACTGTATGTTAACATATTAAGAAAATATTGAATCAGTTTTAACCCTAAGCCATTTTAAAACACAGCTTTCTGATAAATACACTGTCATTTTAGTCACTAATTTAATAACCTAAGTAAACAAAATTTATCTGCAGACAGTCAGATGGCATACATGTGAGAGTCAGCTATACCTTCGGTGTCATTAAAATAAGTGCACGTTTGTTTTGGGGTGAAATATACTATGTTTCTAGGTGAAACATAGTATGCACCAGCTCTTGGTGAGATCTGTCACTTGAGCAAGGTAAATTACATCAAGTTACTTGCCTAATACACAAACCCTTGAAGAAATATCTTTCAATGAAAATATACACAGCAATGGCTGGACTGGTGCCCTTCGCTGGAGCATTTCGAGTGCATCATGCAGTGCTAGTGTGGCTGGCACAAGGGAGTCGCCAGCAAGAGCCATGGAATCATATGAGATAATAACGTCCACAAATATGGACCCAACCACAGCATCAACAACTAAAACTACTCTATAAAGCTAAACTAAGCATCATTGTAATAGTACACAAATGGATTTAAAGGCATACTAAACGAAAAATATAGGGATTTTCCAGAGCTGTCTTCCAGACCAAAGAGTAAAAACGCACCTGAACTTTCCCTGCACACAATGCCATGAACCAAAGTCCTTAAAATTAAGTAATTTGCTAAGAAAGTGCCAGTAGCTAAAAAAACTTCTATTACATAGATGCTGACCAATTCAGTATTGTACCCTGCCCTCGAGCTTTACATAACAAACTTACTTCCGCTTCTCTCTTCTTTACTCGGGCCTTTTCCACCTCATCCATTACTTTTTGAGATTCTTCCACATTCCCGTCAGCTCCCAGCTGTTCTACTTTGGCCAGCAGTTTCCCGATTTCTTCATTCAATTCATGAACCCTTTCAGCCTTGAAAGACAAACATGCAGAGGTAAGATCTCCAGGTAGAAGTGAGACAAAAATTACTTCACGTTGAAACAGAAGAAGAAAGGCTAAGTCGACAGATCTATGCACCAATGCCAAAGGAGGATCCTGTTGTCTATACTAAATACAGACCTGCAAAGTTTGTATTCACACAACCATTTCTCCTGCTTTCACTAGAAAGTGTAAGAATTACCAAGATTTTTGTGTCAAAGTATCACAGATAAGGAAGTTTCCTGAGCTGGAAAATACTGACAAGGTCTTTTCTCTGGGCTCTCTCCTCCCTGCTTCAGAGGCAGGCATTGGTAGGATAGAGGACTTATTTTCCCTCATATACATGCATTCTTACACTACATAGGATGTCAAACTCTGAAGTTGACTCCTTAAAAACAGCGTATTTTGTCAATATATGTGGTCTTGCACAAAGTTCAGGTCAAATACAACTATGCTAAGCTAAGCAACTAAATTAAGTGCGCTACTGGGGAGAGAAAAAAAGAAGAGAGAAAAGAAAAAAAAGAAAAGAAAAAAAAAGGCACCTCTGCTGCAGTCATTCCCATGCAACAACCCTCCAGTCCTTCAAAAAAGATCAGCAACTACTTGTACATGCTTACTTTAGCTGCAACTTCAGCACTGATCTCTTCTTGGGTTTCTGCTAGTCTTTTCTTAGCCACTTCTGTTCTTCTGTCGCAGTCTGCGATAAACGACTGCAGGTGATCCATTGCCTAAAACATCAATAAAATTATTTATCAATACTATAAATGAATATTTATTTATCCTTAAAAAAGTTTCCTGGTTTATTAAAAATAACTATGAGAAGATTTTTTTATTATTTTTATTTTTCTTGAGTGAAACTTTTTAAAAATTATATTCTAAAAATGCATGATGTCTAATGCTAGTACACAGTAACATTAATCACATGTATTCATATTAATGTTTGTAAAGTCGGAGTATGCACTATCACAATTTACAAGTATCTGCAGAAATCTGGATTGAATCTCTCACCAAGTCCCTAGTAAGAAGGGAGTAAGAACATGCATTAACTCAGCACATGCACCCTCAGTTTCAACTCCCCCAGGCAATACACTGTTAACTTCTTTGTGCTAGTGCTTTGAAGTTGATAAGCCTATTAACAGCCTCTCCCTTCCTCCCCCTCCCCAAAAAAACACTTTTTTTTTTCTCCTAGTGAAGACTAACTTCCTAGTTTGAAGTTCAGAAGTTTATTATTTGAACCACCATGTGCTGAAGCATATGTTTCCACAATAAATACAGGTATGCAGCTTTCTTCAGGAAATATGCATAGCATCTTAAAAGTTTTTCTTTAAACTATAAATGGCATTAGCATTTGTTTGCAGTTTGATAACACTGTGACAAATATTCAGGTTTAATATCTTTTGTTCTGTAGAAGACAGAACAGATCTACCCAGTGATGCAAAACATTATCTATCTACAAAATAACCTTCCAAAAATGTTCATTCTTTATGTATTGAAAACAACTTAGTTGCCTGGTTTATTCACCCGTTTAACCGTTATCCTGGTTTATCCACAGAATTTACAGTTTCTCTCCACCGTCAGGACAAAATACATACATCAAGTTCAAAGAAGAAATCTTGATCTTTGGATGCTATTTCATAGTCTGCCCTTAATGCCAGGTCATGCACCTTCAGACATTCTCCGAGGTCCATCCTCTGAAAAGAAACAGAGGGAAAGCAGTTTAGCTCTACTGGAGTACTACTAAGAATGAACTTAGCATCATTTTCCTTATTTGTGAAGTAAACTAAAGCTGTCAGGCAGTCTAAATTTAAAATTTCATTCATTATTGGAATGAAATAAAGTTTTAATAAACCTGTAAGACAAAAGCAGATTTAAGGAACATGCATAAATTGGATTAAAAAAAGGCAGATAGAGGGAACTATCCTATCATTAAGGCTGTAACTTGCTTGTATTATGGAGTATCATTAAAGTTTTGCAAATACGCATTTTAGTAAAAGCTTTAAAAGTGACTAGAGTGGAATTAATCCTGTTAATCAATCCTGAGCTAAAACAACCGAAGAGAAACAAGCTTCTCACAGATAACTGGCAAGTAAATGGTCAAATGCTTAATATGAACTACCTCATATACTCTACTACTCTATGATACAAATGTCCTGTCCACAATCACCAGCTCAAATAGCTGCAACCCACTGTTAAAAGTACAGAATCTTGAATTTCAACTAAAACTTTTGATAAGTTTTTTTTTTTTTTTTAAATAAACGCCGGCCATGCTGACAATATAGTATGTAGGGGACAGCATAAGAGCAGAACTGAGCAGTTAGGATGTCTTACAGTCCCAGGATGTCATTTCAGTATCCCTTAAATAACTTTAGTAATGATAATAGCTTCAATTTTGGGTGTACTGGAGGAGGGTAGATTTTTATTAAGATAATATCCCATGAGGACAAAGAAAATTTTGGCTTCCCTCCTTTTAAGGCCCCGATCATTTCAGTAACCTGATTTAGAGCTGAGCCCTACAAATAGTCAGTGGCACAAACAGGGAGCAAGAACAAGTAAATATAGTAAGAGAAAAGGATTAATTTTCTTTGGTTTTGCCACTAAGGCAACTGTATCATTGGAACTGTACCTTAACAGAGTTTGTTCTAGTTTTGTCTTAGCTGATCCTTTGCAAGTACCTTAATAGCAATACTACCACTAAACACCCTACTTGAATTTGACTTAGCTAACAGAATTTTAGACACGCACACAAAAATCACATGTAGAACTCTTGAGCCAAAGTTTGCATGTGACATACAAAAACCAGGCTGCAAAGCACTTCTGCTGGTATAAGTAATGCAAAATTTGGCAAAGAGATTTAATCTTGGGGGGTTCGTTACTGTCAAAGGTCAATGCTGGATCAGGATTGATGAGTACCTTGGAAAACACAGACCAGTTGGTATTATAGGTTGGTTAATGTGTTTAGTTGCAAAGTAGAGCTAATAGATGGAAATGGACAGAAGACACAGTGAGAGGCATTATCCTTACTTTCTGTATTGTCAAATTGTGATTTGCTGCCAAGATTTGCTCTTCTCCAGAGGCAAAGGACATGTATTAGCAGTCAGCCCTTCAGGACCAATCATATTTGAAACAGGAGATGACCACAAGGGAGGACTTATGTGCAAACATTAAACTACTGCTGGAAGCTTAGAAAATATGCCTATAAACTGTTTTTCCACTGTTGATGCAGTGAGTTTTAAACAAATACATGATACTTCAGGCGATCTACAGATGGCTCCTGATGGGTAAAATAAACAAGAAAGGCAAGATCAAAGTCCCTGCACTTTGAATAACTAAAGATTATTGAACACCTGAAGCCACACTTTGGAGCTTTTTGCAGCTACTGCACTTTTACTGAAGATTGAAACATGGAACATGTATATATTTGGGGAATCCTTCTTAAAAATGAACACCAGTACAAAAGCGTCGTCTAGAAAACAGCCAACACATACATAAAAAGCACAATTCAGTGGTGCTTTTGCTGTTGCAGAGCTCAGCTTAACAAACTAGTCCTCGTTATTAACAACTTGCTAACCACACTACTTCATGACTTATGTTTTTCCCCCCCCCTCAAAACAGTAAGTAGACAATTGAAGTTACTTGATTTGTCAGGGCTGAGGTAATTTGGACAACTAGTCTCCTGTCCCAAACTCATACTGATATGTTTTTGTTGTCATTTCTGTCTCTTCCTTCCACAAAAATGGGCAGAATGCACTTGGGTATTAATAAGGAAATACAGACTACATATATTTAGTTTACTGATAATGTATGGCTCTCCCTCCCATCTTTTCAAGACTCTATACAGACTGCGAGAAGAGCATAGAAAAGCCAAAACTACTTAATACCTACCAGGCTGATGTTGAGCCAAGTGTGACACAGTAGCAAACACTCTCAATGCTTCTAAAAATAGCACACAGCTTTGGTAGGTTCTGAAAGAAGACACTCTGGGCAGCTTTTCTGTAGAAGATTCTTTCTAGCAAAATGATGCCAACTACCAAATCAGTTTGTGTTTGGCAAGAGAAATTAGGACCTTTTATTTAAGATGTTTTACATGATTTGAAGATTCACACTGCAGATTCAGTATTACAGGAACCAAATCTCTCCTTTTTTCAAATTGCCAAGGCAACTCTCGGTGACCAAGTGAAAACAGACTTGCTATAGATACAAAGGAAGTTGTTGACGGGCACTTTTCTCAGATCTGTCATTACAGAACTCACTTTTAATCTGCACTAACAATTTGCTTTCTGACAGATCTCTAGACATGCCATACAGTCTATTTTCTTTCTTTTAAACATCACAGGCTCAGAAGGGGACATAGGAGATGACACATGATTTAAGTCCTCTGACTCCATTAACTTGGGTGACTTTGGTATGACTTCACTAACAGGGGAGCAAAAAGAAAAAGAAAAAAGGAGTTTTAAGACTTTAGATATTTTAAAGTCCTTACCAATCAGTGAAAATCCCTTGCATCTTCAGGAGTAAAATGTTTCTTTAAAGATATCTCTCTCCTTATCTTCAACCCTACTCTTATTCCTGGAGACATTAAATCCAGCCCTTCCCATTTTAAATACAGGTATTTCAGTGTTCCCCTAGTATTCAGATCTTAGAACCTGACTCTACAGCATAATATTATTAAAGTGAGATTACCATATTGAATAAAAGAGAAAAAAGCCTTTATCTAGGTAAGTGAAGCCCATTAAAATATACTACAAGCAACTGGCTTTCCTGGTGCTGGTCAAGAAAATTAAGAGATTCATGGATCATGTGCAATTGAAACCGAGCGCTTCAACATTCACCACCACTGGGCAGAAGGCTACAAATGGAGCTGGTTTCCACAAGCCTAATTTACTTCAATTTGCAAAGGGCTGAAGCAGCTCATAGGATCAAGTCAATTCTAAACTGAAAAGCTGATATCCTTGGAATGAATCCTTATGTTCTATAACATTACAATATGTAATCCCCAAGCACCTAAGTTTCAAGCATGGAAACAGTTTCACTGAGCCATTGGGACTACTGATAAAAACTCAAATCCAGATTAAGAGACTCAAGTATGTTAAATGCATAAATAATGTTAAATTTTAAAATATTTAAACTATCCAAGCTCCTCTTACAGAAGGTCTAGGCAGTACGTTCATCCTAAACAGACTCAGCTCACCTTGAAGGGGACATACAGTGGCAAGTAAACTGAACCTCTCTGCGCTCCCCTTCCTCTATCCCCATCGACTCCAGTGCAACGTCAGAAAATTAGTGCACCAGCTGAAATCTAAATTTAGGAGCCTTAATCTAGAGCTGAATTCCTCCTCTAATAAGATTAAAGATAATCATGGAGTAAAGTATGGTGTTTAATCAAGGTCTCAATAAGTATGCTTCTGGTCAGCAGCAGCCCTGAAGAGCTAAGTGCAGCAAATTCAAAATCAAATTAATGATATTCGTAATTGCACAATTAAGCCGGTAGAACGTATTTTCAACTCTGTATGAATAAAATGCAAAATGTGGTGTTCCCCCACTTACAAATACACAAAGTTCGTCTGAGTGAAAGGAATTTCTCAATCATGGTTTGCAAAACAACATGCAATATTTGTAAAATTCTTTTCAAGCAAGCACAATTGAAACAACAAACAAAGAAACAAAAAAACACACTAGATTCCTGCAAAAGTGCTGAATTTTTCGTCTCTTCAGAGACAGCTAGCAGCTTATTATGAGTATTTAGGGCATTATTACCTACAACCTTATTAAATTACTCGCTTTAAGTTTTATCACCTTTTGATTTTCACTGGTATTCAGCTATTTATTTAGAAATATATATGCAAACATAAAGGAAACACATACCTACAAATCTCGCCTTCCTCCAAAGCATGTGACTTTCTAGTTTCACACTACTGTAAAGGTGTCATCTGACTACTATGTAAGTAGCTTGAATCATACAGTTACATATTCAGATATAAATATTTTATAGTGTTGATGAAAAACAACTCAAGAATTATGGACTGAGATATGCCTGAATATCAGGCATTATTACAAATATTTATAAATAAAATGGTTAAGAGAAAAGTGTGAAAACTTTAAGACAAAACATTTGACATAAAAGTAATTAACTTTTTAAATGACAAATGATTCACTGTGTTCTTTAAAGACTAAGAACAGCTAAAACTTGCAACATTTTATTATACCAACCTATATCACCATCAAACTCTCAATCTGAAATGAATGAGCAAACTCTCAAGTCACTGATTTCTGGAGAATTTCCCTAAGAAAACCAAGGGAAAAAAGCTGAAAAACCAAAGTTTGAAAAGCAAAGTACTAAAATCTGAAAAAATCCCTATTAAAAAAAATAATAATTAAAAAAAAGGCTTTTGAGAGAGGTATGGTTGAAATTAATCTCTGAAAAGACGGTGTTTTATAACTTTGTAAATTTAACAATTACCTCATTGTGTGGTTCATGCAACCAGAACACATTTCAAGTAAAAAGATATTTAAGAAACACAATATATTTGAAAATTATAAAATAGCAACATGCTGTTGAGGATCCTAATTATCTTTGTTTTGAATTTATTTCAAATTTGTCTTTAAAGACACACTATTCTAGCTTTGCCTTCCAAAGAACCCATCATTTTCACTGCTCTTAACATCAGATTACAAAGATGAAAACCATACT